TAGATAAAGAAAATGTGCATCGGCTTGACCTGATTACTAAATGTGACTGAAACCTAACAGTTGGTGTGTCTCGTCTCTGAATATATGCTTGCTCAAATTGGATTCAGATTCATTTTTGACATTGGCTATTTGAGAGTTTTTCCTCATGCTTGGAACAAGCTGCATCCTGTTTTGAATGAGCTTCATTCTGCTGAAAGTCCAGCAAAAAACCCTTGTAGTAATACAGCTTTCTAGAAAGGAAATGAGCGTGATGCATTGATTACTTGACAGTGCAATTTTGTCGGACACCTGGCAACAAATCTCCTGGGAAAGAAACTAAAACAGCCAGGCTATAGGCTTTTGTTTTCCCCAAGCTTTTGGTAGTTTTTCCCTGCTTAAGTGGTGGATGGTAAAACTGTGGAAAATACCGAGGAACTATACTTCACAAAATAAATTCCTGAGAGAGAGAGCCATGGAAACAAAAACTAAAACATGAAATCATGTTAATTTTATTCTCATTAGTTTTTGAGCCGTTTTACTTTAGTTTGCAGGTATCACTTCAGAAGCAAATCTCAAGTGTAGGAAACCGTGTCATTCTCAGCACTTGGATTATTATGAGAGAGTCTGGATTGTCTTTTGTCGTCAGATCAAGTGTAAGTCAGAAAAGCTTTGTAAAAGAGAAAAAGCCTTTTTCTTCCCTTCTTCCCATCCCCCCCTGGTGCAAGCTCACAGGATTGCGCAGGGCATTATTTGAAGTCTTGTATGAACATAAAAGCCTGCTCATAAAAGTTCCCTGCAGTGAAAACGACCTAAATAAACACAGCCCTGAAATAAAACTCTCCCCAGGTTCAGCTAACCTTTCCTCAGAATGGAGGATGGGGACAGGAGAGGCTAGAAGAGGCATTAGGGACCGAGTGGCTGAGCATGGGATGGTTTTGTAGTGGCAGAATGCAGCTATTTGGTGGATGTAGTTGTCCAGAGTGCATTACAGCAGCATGAGTGGTTGCATTTTTAGCCAGGCTACAGTCTGACCTCTGACTCTGGTAGTGATGGTAGTGTTTCAGTCCCACTGGGGATGGAACCAGTAGCACTTCTGCCTTTCTGCGCACACAGTCACACACATTCACAAAGGTTGTATGTGGAAGTTGTCTATTTGAATTTCAGTGAGATTTCTGAAAATATCTTGAGCTGTGAAGCTGTTTGTTTGTCTGAATGCATCATTCATTCATACCTTAGTCGCCTACTGTGGCTCACGCAATCCTAGCAATCTCTTACAACGTCCTGTATTCTGCCAGTTGTGTTTCTAGTTTCCAATCTTCTGACTGACACCAGGTTTACTGCATCTGCTCACGTCTCCTATCGGGTTGCTTTCTGTATATGGCCACATTCAACAGAACATGTAAAATACAAACTAAGTGTAACACATCTGAAAATGTGATCTGCAGTACTGAAAATACTGTGTTATTCAGGCCACTCTCATTCCAAAATCTTGTGACGGTTTGTGTAACACATCCCAACCACTTAAACATTATTAATGCCCAGGACACACCCAGATCTCATCAACCTCTCCCACAGTTCAAGGAACGTGCTCAGAAAGAGCTCACAGCTGAGTGACTGTCCAATAAAAGTATCTGAACATGTGTCAGAACAAGCCTGATCTGCAGAGGTCACAAGCCACAAGCCACAGTGCATCCTCTGCCAGTGGTGGGTGAGGTCTTTTGTCCATACCACAAAATATGAGAGCTGTTGTGAAGCATGAGTGGGAGCTACCTACTGTTACATGGTTTTAATTTTATAGCTGATCAGTGTGCAGACATTGTTTTTTTTGGGCTCAGCCTATGACCTGTGCTTGCCACTATCGCCATGCAGTAAAAGCTATTTTCAGTTTACTCTTTACCTGAACCATTACACATCTGTGTACACCAAGACAGAACATGATCTTAATATAAAAAAGGTGGCTAAATGAACCCCAATGACAGTGTATCAATAGTGTCCTTGCAGTTAGCTACAGTGATTAAGGATGCCTTCATTTCTTTGCCATAGCTGTTGCTTAATCCTCCTCCTCCTGGTTCGTATGTTTTTTAAATTCATGCATTTAAGTGCCACATTTCATTTTACAACCTTTTGAAGCCTCTGTTGGTAAAGTAATGAGAGCTCAACAGCAGTGTTGTGGGATGGTCACGACATGGGAAGATATAACTGGAGAATTCCTTTTACATTCAGTCTAATTTAGAATTCACGTAATGTAAATCTAGACTACAGGGTACTTTTAATTCTTATTGTTGGTTAAAAACATATTTTAATATAATGTAACTTGCAATAATTAAAGAAAGAAAAGAAAGAAAAGAAAAAAAAAACAAGCAAATATAATCAAAGTGTCATCACACTTGTTGGCAGATGCTGAATATTTAAATTGGATTATGATATCTTTGTGGTCCTTATTATTTAATTAGGGACATGTAAGATCCTTTCGTGTAACTGATCCCCTCTCTGTGCCTGTCCTCACAGCCAAGTTGTTGCCTGGCTCGACCCTCCTCTGTTATAAATAACCAGTCCTCATAAACAACTAAGGTTATTTGTACTCCATGTGCAACAAGCACTGCATTTGTACCACGTCACTGAAGCGCAGCGAAACTAATTTTGCTTTTGTTGCTTAATTCTTGCAAACATTTGTCTTTGACAGGAGTTTAATGACGTTAATGGCTGTTTGACAGAATCAAATGAAATGCATTTGCAGAGTTTTTGTTCTTGTCGAAGCTCTGAGATTGGGGAGTGCGTTTTAATTTATTGTCCTATAATGTGGGTGTTTTGAAGCCCTTTGAGACTCTAGCTGTGATTAAGTTTATGCAAATAAACCTGACTCAAAGAGAGTGGATGCATTTAACGCAGTGTTTACATCCTTTATTATGCAGGCTTTTCAGTGTAAAACATGTCAGTCCAATGATAAACGTTGTGTGGAAAGTGTATTTTTAACAGTCTTGCTTGCTAGTGCTCGCTCCCTGGCCTGCTTTTTCCTTTTTTTTTTCTTTTTCTTTTTCTTTTTTAAAATCATCATTGTCTTTTTGTCACATGCTGAGCTCACCATCTGCCACTGCTGCAGTATCGTCAACGTCCTTAAAAAGTCATTGCTGTATTCTTAATTATCTTGCTTTAATCGCCTGCCCTCTTCAGGGAGATAAAAGGTTATTAGAAAATGAGCCCACACGGGGATTTTATTAAAACTGAAGCACAACTCTGTATGCAAGTGTATATACAGCCACGGTTGGGGATGTAGGTCCTGTTGTCCTTGTACCATGTGCTTCTTTTTTCCTTTTTCTTTTTATAAGTGCTTGAAGCTACATCCATCACACTTGAATCCTTCCTCTGGCTGTATTTATATTAGTTCTGTATGACTTGTTTGTGTTGTTCTGGTCTGTCAGGTCCTGCCATCTGAGAGTTCTTGGAGTGTGATTGATTTTAGATCCTCCTACAGTTCTGATCAATTCCACTTTTAATCATAAAATGCTGATTTAAGAAAACAACACTCTGTGTCACCTCTCACCTCACCCACTAACGCTCACAATCAAACAGAGGCCACTCTCAAATGTGTTAGCAGTTTACTAAAACTATATGTGTAATATATTGAATAAATGTTTTAATCAAATGATACTACTTAAAACTTTATAAAAGAATATGAACAAATAAAAGATAATAAAGAATAACCTGATATAAGTGTTTTGTAAGCATGTATTGCAATTCCTTCCAATGCCCAGGCCAACCTCACACTGGATTGGCCAGACATATCGCTGGCCAAAGCTCTTGACCTTCAATTAAACGGACCGAGCCACAACTCTTTAAAAGGCACAAACTGCAATGTGTATAAAAATATGCATCTGGAATACAAGGTTAATATGATAACAGTATGCATAAACATTTTAAGGCCATCTTAAAGCTATCTGTTACATTATTAAGGCAATGATCATACTGCAGATTATATTGTACTGATAAAATACTTTTGTTCAACCCCACAACAGTCAATGAGATAATTTTGTTTTTGAGCATATTGAAGTTCCGACATGTCACGTCACAAGGAGGCTTGCCTGCTCTTTCTTAACGAAAATAATATAATATAATATAATATAATATAATATAATATAATATAATATAATATAATATATGACACTAAATAATGGCACATTAATCAGCTGCCTCTGTAGTGAGTTTCCACAGGATTCCTCTGGGATCTTGGACTGCAGCGGTAGTCCAAGAAACACGAGGAAATCACCCAAGTAATAGCAGTGTGTTTACCTCCACCTGCAGCTCTGTAAAACAGTGAGAGCAATTTTGAATTTTTCTATTATTTTGTCTGTAAATGTGTCACATACACGAGTGTAGAGAAACCCGTGGCCTGGTCCTCGGTCTGTCCGCCAACAAAAGAAGCGGTAACTACATCACCTTACTGTGTCCTCCATCCTCTTCCTCCTCAGTAATCCATCACTGGCACTCAGTCAAATCACACTTTTCATGCTAGAGATGTGTTAACCAAATGGGAGCAGAGATGTAGCAGAAAAGTGGAGCGAGGAGGCCTGAATCCTGTGGCAGAAATGCAGCTCTCTTAGTGTGAGAAGCAGGCTCGTTAGCATTCATGTGTTGCGTTCCTGGTCTCTCACACGTAGCAACATCCTCCATTATTGAGCAGTAGTAAATGCTTTGAAGTTGTGCTGTTTGGGGAGTTTGTGCTCCAAAAGAGAGTAGGAGTGGGGACGCGAGGCTTTGAAAGGCAGAAATCTCAGCTAGTTATTGTGTTGTATTGATCAAAATCCTTTTTCCTGATATTTCTCTGCCCACTGTTGCACTGTGTTTTTTCCTTTTACTGGATGGTAAAAATGGCTGTTCCACATAAAGCAAAAGAAGCAGCAGCACCATCAGCCTGCTCTGCTCTGTCATTGAAAACAAGGTCAAGGTGACGGAGAATCTAATTGACGCTTGGCACAACCCCGCCAGTCCCCCCGGGATGTTTAACAGCAGCGCTGCTCACTCACCCTCCTGCACCGCCATTGCCACGTGGTTACACCACAAGCTGCGACTTGCATCTCATTAGCATTTGACAGCGTGGGCCAAAGCTGCAGTTTCATCTAATGCATTTAATGGTGAGACTATATTCAGAGTAAATTAATTAATGCCTTAGTGTGAGTCTGCGGTCAGATAACATTAAAACAATTTCACAGCAGCGTCACAATCAAAGTGGTGTGTTTCAAATTGTTAATAGCTGGTTTATTTTTATTCATAATAGGGAGCACATCTTTGATATCATCCATATTAAACATAAAGCACCATCAGTGGGTGAATTTTTAGATTATTATAGCCAAATAACTTACACTTGGTACATGTTACATGTTTACAGGTCTGTGATTTGAAGGAGTTGTTGAGCAAACTGAAGAAATCCTATGGATGTCGTCATATATCTTTTCTTTCTGTTTTTCTCTTTCTTTAATTTTGACTGTTTATTATTCTGCACATGTGAGAATTCAACCTGGTAAATCATTTTAAGGTGCAGTTGCTTAGTAGCGCCACATGGTAGTGAAAAGGCAGTTCCTGTTAATAACATTGAACAGAAATTGGAGGCAGCCAAGGGTGTAGCAGGAGGTAGCCCTCAGCAAATGGAGCTAAGGGACTAAAATACTTATTTCTACATTTACACCTGCTTCTAGACTTTTTAAAAATAATTTTAATTTTCACAAATGTGAAATGGATGATCTGATTGGATTTATAACAGGACAGATTCCCCTGATTGCATTAATTTCCAAGCAATAGCTAGAGATTAGAGGTGTAGTTAAATCACAACAGAAACTTGGGTGCGTAACAAGCTGCTGACTTTCTTGTGTATAAAGTACAAAATCCAGAGTCTAAATTCCCGAATATATTAGAAATATTTTGGTAAAGAGTTGTGGAAAGACACTGATATATTTTGCTGAAATATTCTGCTCTTTTAAGACAATACGTTTATTGGTTTATTCATTCTTTTCAGTTATTGTGGAATGGAAAGCAACATTTCAGCAAAGAGTCGACCAATCACACACGTTACTAATGCAAACTCCTCACAGAAAGTGGTTAGGAAATTCAAATCTAAAAACAAATAATGCGCCATTGTGGCACCTATAAAAAAGAAAATCACTGCTCAGAATAATCACCCCTGGGATTTACAGAGTATGTGACAGGTTACAAAAATTAGGTGGTGAATGATGATAGCTTTCAATTCAGTTTCATTTCATTTCAAATCACAAACAGTCACCTCAAGGCACTTTATTTTGTAAAGTTAAAGCCCTAAATTATCAGAGAGAAAACTCCAACAATCGAACGATCCACCCGTGTAGGCAATTGGTAACAGTGGGAAGGAAAAACGTCCTTTTAACAGGAAAAATCCTGTGACAAAACCCGGCTCAGGAAAGGGCAGCCATCTGCCAAGAGAAGAGAGCAGAGGAAGGTGGGACAAAAGAGACACAAACGAGAGAGCTGGAGTTTAAAATTACTGACACATAACTGTAAACAGGACTTTAACTCGGGAGATTGTGGTTCATTTAGCAGCAGATTGACGTCAGCCTCGTCAGATTTACGTCCCGCCCTCACATAAAAACTAAAAGATGTGGTGGATTTGTGGAAAGTGTGGTTCCACTCCAATCTTTGCTTTACTTTGATGCTTTTCTGACAGTTTTCTCAGTTTTCATACCTTCTGTTTTAAGTCCACTATAGTTGTACGAGGATGGAAGATTTGTGATTAATAGATGTGCAACATGGAGCACAATGTCCAAAAATGTGACATTTGGGATTATTGTTTAAGTCTTGATAATGCAGCTTCACATTTATAGCATGTAGCTGATGTTTATTCAGAGCAGCTTAGAATAAGCTCTAAATCCTGGATCACCCACATTATAAGCAACAAACTGTACAAATACAAAGATTAAAGCAATACCAGCAATCCAACAAATGAATAAACTCTCTGAGTGTGTGGGTGTAACAAAGGTTAATGGAGGAATTAATCTTTATATTTTGTCTCCGCAGTGAGACTCTGACCGAGGAGCCGACAGTCGAGAGGTGTTCGACTGCATGAAGAGGCCGAGTGACGGGACTCTGGTCCTCACCTAAACCCCTCCCACGACCTCTCCAAAAGCCTGGACATGGTGAGTCTCCTGATTATGTCTGGTGTTTGTATATTTTGTGTGTTTAGCTATCAATAGTGTATTTCCAGCTGTTATATAGTGTGAACACTGATCAGGTACATGATCAGTCAGCACGATGACCGATCTTGTGTACCTCATTCAGGGAGAGGAAAAATACATTGAAAACAAAATTAAAATGCTAGAATTCTCTAGTATAGCACGACAACTTGATAAGAAGAGTAACTCTACTTTTCCAAGTCCTATTTTTGAGAAAAAGCTGATGGGATGATGCCCTGTGATCTGGATCTTATCTTATCACCAGTCGTAGCTGTTATTAATGGTTATCAGTCACATACACATCCCCAGCGGGCATCTTCTTTCCCGCTGAGCAGGCTCCATAGACTCTTACCATTCATTGTAACCACTGACCAGCGGAGAAAACCAGATTATGTAGACATCTAGTGGTTGTGTGAAGAAGTGCATGTAAAAGCTCTGATGGTAAATGCTGTGATAAATGTTGTGACAAAGTTTAACAGGCTAAGATTTATTTTTTATTTCCTCACCCTAGAGCTAATTGTCAACAACTGCAGTTCCTCTAGAGGCCACTTGAGGCTGGTTTCAAAGGGAAGTAAATCCCTACTGACTCCCAGGTTACAATGATAAACAGCTAAAATAATAATGTGCCACAAAAATGGTTTTGGCCTGTATGCCTTGTTCCCTCTTTATATCGGCTTTATGGTGGATTGTTTCTTCTCCACTGTTGCTAAGGCTTTAGGTGTATGAGCAGTCAAACACCTAGTCATACAACATGGGCAGCTGTTCTTGTGATGCTTGTGGTTCTTGTGCCGTTTGGACCACTTATAATGGAATTATCTAACAAATAATTCCAGAAAGTTTGCTTTTGAGATTTGTTGAGAGAAATTATGATATTTTATTAGTCTGTCAATTGGCACTAATTGGCACACAGGCCTCTGGGCTTTCACAACGCAGTCTTGTACTTAATGAATGACAACAAGATAATCTTTGCTTATCTTTTGTATACGCATCACTGCATATTGGGTACTTTCAGAATTGCCTTAAACTTTTATGGCATAGGTTCAAGAAGCATTTGTCATGAATTTTAGTGCATGTTGACATGATAGCATCACACAGTTGCTGCAGATTTTTCAGCTGCACATACATGATACGAATCTCCTGTTCCAGCACATCCCACAGGTGCTCTGTTGGGTTGAGATTCCAGAGATGCTTTGGTTGAAAGCAGTCATCTGACACTAACAAACACGTCACGTTCAAAGACACTTAAACTGCCTTTCTTCCCCATTCTGACACTAATTTTGAAACTCAGAACACGACCTTGACCATGTCTATGTGCCTAAATTCACTTATTTTTAAAACCATATGATTGGGTTGATTAGATATTTTACAAACAGTTTATCAAGTACACCTAATGAGGTAGCTGTCTATGAACAGAATTTGTGAAGGAAATGTTGTTAAATGGCAATCGAATGATGGATCCAGGCACAGCCACACCTCCAGCCTTCAAATGTAGATTTTTGTTGTTTTCTTTCTGACTAGAGACACAGCAGGAGAAGAAAATAACCACATTTGCATTAGAGTATACAACACTTTAAGCAGAAGAGGCCACCTGCGTCTGATAACGACTGATAACAGTCATTTAGTTAAGTAACATTTTCACACTCATCCTGATGGTATAGCTTCTCTGAGGTAAACATCATCCAAGGAGTAGAGTCTTTAAGTATTTTTCTGATGAAAGTGAAGCATTAAACACAGTAATGCAGTCCAAGTCTTACACTCTCACCTGTCAGGCTTTTAAACCTCTGAATCACTTTCTCTTAAAGTTGCAGTTTGCACTTGGTCCTTTTTTGATGGTTCAGAGCAGGACCAAAACAGTTTTGAATGGTACCAGTCAATCATTCTTGGTGCTGAAGGACTCACTAAGAATGGACTGAAAACAGTCTTTACCATCAGACAACCCCCACCTTTTATTATTAGCAGAAAGTATCATCCTGTATGTGTCAGCCTGTAACATTTTGTGTTCACGCCACTTCCCAAGTTTTGTTTTTAACCAAACACAAAACATTATCTACTGTATTTTTGTTTGTGCACTCACCAGAAATAATGTCGTCTGGAGAGTACTGGCAGGTTAGTGGCTTGTTTATGTGTCAGACAATATAATTAATTGTAGACATTGAATGTGCCAGGCAAAGTGAATGGAAGCTTGTTTATGTTTTGTTGGGGTTTTTTTGTTCATTATTTTTAATTTTGCCATGTTAAAAAACACTTGCCTCCTTTCCTGCTCTGAAATGGTCTAAAATTAGTGGAACTCTTGTCAGGCAGTCCGCTGAGAAAAACAAAATAACTGCAATAATGCCTAAAGCTATATTAACATTATCGCCTCTCTATAAATTTCACGAATGCTAACTGTTAAAAAAGTGTCTTTACTCTACGGATTTTAAAAACAAATACAAATGTATATTTTCCTTTGTGGTGGTCAAAGATTCCACAGGTGGTTTAATTACTTGCTTTCTGTATTTAGAGCACATTTGCAGACTGTCATGAATGAGGTGTGCGGACACCTGAGGAAGGGCTGTTCGATATAACGATATATATCGGATGACGATATAAAAACGTCTATCGTTTCATTTTACGCTATCGTTTGTTTCGTGGTGGCGCAAAATAAACTGTTTACGGCAATATTTTTTCATCGTTTTGATGGTCACTGTAGTGGCTATATATATATTTGTTAAAGTTCTCTCTTTCTCTTATATTTAATATAACCACATTATGGACAGACAACCGCCTGTTTTTATGTGTTGTCGTTAGCAACAACGACGGTAAAACCATCGCATATCCACTTGTTTATTTTCCACATAAACCTTTCACAATAAAGCTCAAGATCCTGTTGAGACTTTTCAAAATAAACTGAATCCCGTGAACTAGTATGCAGAGTGTTTACGGATGAGAAACAAAAAACAGGCGTCAGGTGCTAAAAAATAAACCTTAGACTCAAACGTTAGAACAGGCTTTTCCCCGCAGCACGCCGTGTAATAAATACTCACAAAGAAAACGGCGCCGTTACAACTTATGTTTAAAAATATATCGTTTAATGCATCGGTTAAAACACTCGACTCCAGGTACACGACGCCCAGCTGGAAACACTTCACGCAAGTCGAGCTGCCCGAGATTCACAGAATTTACAGAAAATGTTACATTTTTGTGATTTATATCGTTATCGGCCGATAGATGTCTTATATCGGGATATGAGATTTTGGTCATATCGCACAGCCCTAACCTGAGGTCTGATTCATAGTAGGAATTTCTCGCATATCTTAGAGAGGAGATATCTGCAGACCCGAACCAGCTGGGTGGACCGAAATAAGTATTTGTAGACTTGAGCAGAATCACTAAAAATTTCCATCATGTGTCTTTTTTTTCTGTAAGTGAGCCTCTATATTCAATTACTAAACTAAATCTATATTCAAAAACAAAAAAATGAATATGCTGCTCTTTGACTTTGGCCACTAAATTAAATAATTGACATGGATATAGAGTGAGTTCTTAAAGGCTGGATGTAAGGAATTTTTGTTTTTGTTCTTATTAAATTCAACATCTGGTTAAGTCACTCATTGGTTTCTGAAGTATACAGAAGTCCCATTGACCTTGGCATTTTAAAACTGGATGTGATGAGCGAGTGGATCTGACTGTGATGCCACAAAGTTCAGGTTTAACTCATTTTCGAACGTAAGTGAACTACTGTAGTGGCTTGCCGCTTGGTTTAAGCATGCAGCTAAGATGTCCTGAGAGAGCGTTTATGTACATCTTTTTATCAATGAAGAAAGACTTCTGGATCCATATCTGTATATGTCTGCTGGCTTCACAGTAAACCCGGCTGATTTTACTCTGTGAAAACCTGTTTGTGTCAGGTATCATCTTCCTGAGTGATTCCACAGTGAAAACAAAATGTTAAAGGAATTACTTCTGATTTGTATGTTAGATTTAAGTACAAGACATCCTCCGAAAAACCTTGCAATGCAATTAATTAAAGCAGTAGATTTGATTATCTTCTAATTGCAGCGCGAGGTTGAACTCCCAGCTGACTCGTAGGCCACAAACAAAAGGAAGCAGCCCGATATGAAGCCAGCCTGTGATCCAAATCGGCGCCGATGCCGTGAAACTCTTAATCTTTCATGTAGATCTTGTTAATGTTTGTGTGTTATGGTTGTCGACGCTGCCCACACTTGCCGCTACACAGCCACGAATGCCCCGTGGCAGTTCAGTGAGAGATTAGCTAGGTCGTGATGAATGACCCCCGCAACTCCAGCACAAGCCCTCGAGATTCGTGGCCATGAATTATTAAAGCACCGTCATAAATAACTCACCGTAATGAGGGGTGCTTACACGCTGCAGGCAGGGAGAACAGGAGGAGAGAGGGGAGGACTGGAGTAGAAGAGGAAGGGATGATTGAGAGAGGTAGCAGTTTGACCTTGGACTGAAAGCCTGCCTTGATGTTCGACCGGCGTACTCCGGCTTGTAAAAGCGAGCGCCGATACGCTTTGCACATCAGCCCTTTTTCATCTACCCCTCAGAGAGATGGGCTCCATCCCTAAGCACATGCCATAAATGTTAATGTTAAGTAACAGCAGCTGAATCTAGGCCACGCACAGATTGGCAGCAGCGCAGGTTGCTTCAGGTGTAATGCTGTCGTCGTGCTGACTGTGAGGAATCTTTCTGACACCAGAAACAAGCATTTGCAGCAACAACAGGAGAAGCACCGGGAATCGAAGTATAAACGGTGTGTTCAAGTTCAAAGAAATCGATTTTGCTTTGGATTTAGTCTGCGTCCTCCAGCAGCGGCTTCAGCTTCAGCCTTCTTTCTCTGTAATTAAAAGGAGTTGGCAGTGCTTTGATGATGGTGTTTGATGAGTAACAATGATGATGATGATAATCCAAATTTCAACCATTAAACCAGTTTTCTGGTATTTTGGCATTGATGACCTTTAAAACTTGGCTGCTGAATATCTGCATATGTGAAATCTGTTATAATCATTGATCAAATTTGGCACTTTAGTGACATGGCCATAAAACGAGAGAGAGAATATTCTGCTGCTTTAAAAGCCTCCAGGTTTCTGGGGAGACCCTTCCTACATATGCAATTGCAGACTTTTACCCTCAGTTCAGCTTTGGTCTGGAAGAAATTTGTGTTTTAGCCCCGCCCCCCTCAACGTTGCTCTCATTGGCTGCCCCATGTAAACAAAAGGATTGAACAGCAGATGGTTGGGGCTGCTGTGTCTGAGGTGACCATCGTGTTGTGTTATATAGTCCTGATCATTTTTGTTTTACTTGTTTGGGAAGCAGGTTGTAAATGAGTAAATAAAACTGTGTGGGTGGACCTGTCCTGCATTCTATCTACTGTAAACCACATCAGCGGTTAGTTTGCTTATTAAATGCTCTATTTATGGCTTTAAAAGCAATGGACAATGAACACAAAGAGTAATGAACGCACAGAACACATTCTTAGTTTGAATCATTACTCTGTTGACAGCCTGGAGATGATCCAGATCATCAGCACTGAATAATTTCACTCATCACTGGCAGAGGAGTGAGTTAAGAGAACCTCAATTTCCAGGGTTGTTGTTGGTGAGCAGATTGTTGCTCCACTAACTCAACTGTCGTGACAGAGCCTGTAGAAGCCTGTTAAAGATTCCTGTTATTCAGTAGTTATTACTCCTTAGTTTTCCCTGTAAAGAAAGTAAGTTGTTATATTTTTGCAGTAATATATAACACTAAACTTTTCATATTTCCATGTATCTGTTTAAATCTCTATCCACATAAACGTAAAAGGAGGCTTTTAGTAGCCTGTTTAAATAAAAGCTGACAGCCAAGTAAAAAATCAGATATAACCAAACAGATGTTGTGTTGGTTATATATAGAAATGTAGAGTCCTACAGGACGGTTCACCTCTGCTGTCGTCAATTAAGCTTTGGCTTCTTGGTTAGGGTCTGCATGCAGTCAGCTACAAGCTTTTAGCATCATAAACCTGTGACCACATTAACGTGTTGCTTTTGTAGAGCTTCGACATGTTAACTGGGGTTGTCACGATGCTAATTACCCAATACTAGAAGATACACAGGAATATATTCAATACTTGATACATTTTTTGATATGATGGAAAAAAATTATAAAACAAAAATAAAGAGGCTTTAACATAAACGATGGCACTCATTTTTATCTGTCTGATGTACTGCAAAGAAATATAGACATTAACATAATTTTAAGATGTATGTATATGACAGATTCTCGTAGGTAGTTTAAAAAAAAAAAAAGGCTGACTTGGCTCCATGTTTTCATTGCTGACCAGAGCTGGTAAGGTCGACTACACTGTTTTTGTCCAGCTGCTGCTAGACTTTTCACAGCCTCAGTCTGAGCTTTAAAGAGAAGTGTAACAGTTTCTAGACACAAACACTTGTATTATTCTGTTCTATTAATGTTACAGACAGGTGTGACTGATAATGTTTGATGCCAACTCTCACATAAATATTATTTTATTATTAGCCATAGCTGCTAGCTGCTACCTTAATGATAAGTTAACAGATAGCATTTTTAATTTAGCACAGCTTTTATGCTAGATGGCCCTTCTTGAAACAATCTTCCTGTTTATCCAAGCTTGGGACCGGCTGAGGCCGGTGATGCTAACAGTAAAGTGCACCGACCATGTTACCATTTATAAACACTGTGCTGTTAAAATGGGAGCTTTGCTGACCTCACAAAATTTCTCATAAAAGGCACGGTGCTTACCTGTCTGCAGGTGCTGCGGGGAAGTTGTGCATTAGCGGGAGAGGTGTTTAGTATTAATTAATATCTAAATAGTGACTTTTTCCCCCTTAATCTATTTTTTAAAATTGTTTTTCCTTTGTTTACGGTCACATTTTGCTTTTCCCTCCACGCAATAAGAAGTTGTTGTTGTTGCAATAATTGTCCTTAAATATTGTACACCTCACTGTTCTTCTTATTCTAAATGACTTGAGTTTGAGTGAATGTTGCACACATATAATTCTTTCTATCTAACCATCCTGCTAACTGAAGAGCTTGCATAGGTAAATAACAACTAGTTTAGTGATTAAGGGTAATGTGTGATGTTGCCCAACACTGTCCATCCATGAGCTTTACATGTATACGTCCAGTGTGGCTACTTGATTATGGCAAAAATCATGTTTTGATTGCGATTACCTAAAATCGATCAGTCACAGATTGAACAATATTAGACTTACTCAACTTTGGAAAGGAAGAAAGTTGTCATTTTAATGAAGTCAGTTTCTTTGAAGTTTAGTCAAAATAAATAAATGATTGTGAACAGAAGCAAGCTTACCACAGGCTGCTAAGGAGTGAAGCACATGTAGGAAGACACTGAGGTGTTTCTATGCCAGACGAGAGACTTTATCTCTGCGGCGTGTCCTGGGTCTGCACAGGTTCACGAGTTCCCAGTAGGACATGCTTGAAATGCCTGATCTAGGAGGGATCCAAGAGACATCATATGCTTAAGCAGACACCCTAACCACTTCAACTGGCCTCTTTCTATGTGGAGGAGTAGTGCCTCTACTTTAAACCCCTGCTGAATGAATTAACTTCTCACCTCCTCTTAAGCTGACCCCAGAGAGGAAGCTCTTTTCTGTCGATTGTAGCCTTCTTTCAGTCACTAACCACAGCTCGTGACCATAGAGGAGGGTCAGAACAAAGATCAACCAGTAAATTGACAGCTTTGCTGTAAGCCTGGCTCTTTTCACATCAACGTTAATGCGTCTGTCGTTCCCTTTCTATACTCATCCTCCAGAAGAAGCTGTGATACTCAAACTCCTGCACTTGAGGCAACGACTTATAATCTGCACTCCACACTCTGTCAGCTGACAGCCATATTTATTGCAATCAAATATTATTCTGCAAATTATTGTAGCAGTTTTTAGAATTTTTGTTTAATCTTTCTTGTGAGATAACAACGACCAAGTTTCCCAACTAGCCTGCTCACTGCCCAGTGCACTGTTTTGGCTCTCAGTAGCTTTCAGCTACCTCAAGACCAGTTTGATAAAATTCATCACTCTCCCACACTGCCTGTGGAAATCTGTGTCTCTCTGTTGGCTAGGGGCTAATTTTATCCGTGATGTTTGGTGAATACAAAAAAAATGTGGATTCACAGTCAGGGAAATGGAGTCAAACATGCTCTCACAGTCGACAGTAAATCAGCAAAATATATTTTTTTCTGCTCTGTGGTTTTGTTTTAATAGGAAACTCTAGCTGTTATTTATAACTGAGAATGTTTTAAACTGTATCTTTAAGTCTTGTTTTTCATTTGAAAACATTTTCTACTGAAAAAAGAAAAAACATTACAGCCTCTTTTCAGTCGTTGGGTCATTATGTGCTCACTGGGGTGATATTTATGCTGATTAATAACATTAGATCAACTAGACAATCTCAAAGGCCACAAGTTGTAAAGGCCACGGGTTTGAGTCCATTTAAGTCCATCAGTGAACATATTTCCTGTCTCCATGTCTTTGAATCTCACTATGACCCTCCACCTGCTCTCTCTGCATGATTCATGCCTGATGTAAGCACCAGCTGGAAAGACAGTAAAAAATTCTCTCTCTCTTTCTCTCCAGAGGTCGTTTCGGTCGTTTGCAAACGATGACCGCCACGTCATGGCCAAGCACGCCAGCATCTATCCAGCCCCTGAGGAGCTGGAGGCTGTCCAGACTCTCGTGTCTACCGTGGAGGGAGCCCTTAAGAAAGTCTCTGATTGGATGGATGACCTCAGCAAATCCTCAGGGAAGACATCCACCAATAACGAGGCCGGGGATGACACGGTGGAGGAAGATGCTGCTGAGAAAAAGTACGTCCCACGGCGAGTGCTCTATAATGTTCGTACCGTGACCATGACTTTTATGTTAGTGCAGTATTTTACTTCAGCTCAGTTTTATAAGAACGAGTTTTCAGAGCGTAACATGACATAAATTTATGTCTTGTTCTAGTTTTTAAAGAATGTTTTTTACCTTCAGCTGTTTCCTGTGCACAGCACGCTCCCGTTATAAAACTGTGTCGTATATCTTCATCGGGTAGTGAGGTGTGATGACTGGGCAATTAAACACACACAGCGGTCATAAATTCACAGCATTTGGCTTGTAGCCTAAACATCCACACAGAGCTTCTATAGCAAAACACCTATATGAAGATTTAGTGCAGAGCTGGTTTTATACAAATAAAAGGGAACCAGGACGGTTAAAGAAAATCTTTGGTTTTTCATGTGATGCTGCAGGTCAGTACAGACACATTACACACATGAACTGTTTTTCTTTGGGAGGAGGGGATCCTGAAGGAGCTTTGTGAAGTACACGTGGTACCTGCCCCTCTGCTCAGCATGTCGCTCACGATCTGCAGGACTTCTGCAAGTGACACGCACATACACCGATTGAATATATAAATACACCAAGCCTGCATTCTCTTTAATGGTCAGCAGGGGGTGACTCATCTGGTTATAAAAATACTTCTGGTTGTACTGGAGTCTATGGGAATGTTTGGCTTCCGTGTGCTTCACAGGCATTAAAAAATATAGTAAAAGTGGGAATGACCTGCATATGAAAAAAAACCCAAGCACCCAACAATATAAAAATAGGCCAAATTTAAATTGAGGGTATGCTTTCATTTTTATTTTTTTATGGAAAGAGCTGCAAAACTCTGACTGCATACTTTATACCACATATACTACACATAAAGCATTTTTAATGTATTTTTATTAGCCTTGAAACTAATCAAACGTATCATTTCCTACTATTAGTTCTTATTTTTCATATTTAAGGAACCATTAACAAAAGTTCTTGTGAATGTTTTAAACAATTTTTAAATATTTATTGACCTAAAAAACTAGTGAAAAAACTAACCAGTGAGGAGAAATACATGAGAAATATTTGTTTTTAGCTCAGATTTGTTTAAAAGAAAAAGCATCGTTACCTTTGCAGACAGCAGAGATCGTTCACTAGATTCTTGTTCAGCATTGTTCAATGTTGCTAATCCATTTGGAATATCAGACCCTGTTGAGCAGCCCAGGGCTCGTTCTCTGGCTTCAGTGTGTGTGTGTTATCACCTCTAAACTCTCTGCATGGCTCTGGGATAATCTGACGCTGGCTGCCTTCCATCTGCCCTCAGGCTGGATGCTGCATCGGTGCTGTGTGGGGTGACGCGTGTCGGCCTGGTAGCCAAAGGGCTCCTCATCAAAGGGGACATGGACCTGGAATTGGTTCTAATGAGCAGAGAGAAACCCACCAAACTGCTGCTCTACACCATCAGCGCCAACCTCCCCCTTCAGATCCAGGTACGCTCAGCCACACCTCCACCACTGTGGTGTTCAGCACTCTGCATTTAAAATGAGCCACGCAGCTGAGGGAGGCTTTAAAAAGTGTTTACGATCCAAGCTACAGTGGAACAACACCCACAGAGGTTGTTTGGTGACATTGAAGAACAGACGTGATGATGATGATGATGATGATGCTCTCATGTGGCTCAATGGGACAGTAATGTATAGTATATAAAATGCATCAGCTGCAATGAATATCAAGCCTTTCCCTTAAAAAAGGTTTAAAGTAATTTAAAAAAGAAAAGAAAAAACAACTTCTTTATAGACAGTTGAATAAATTCAGTGCACTTCCGAGCGAGTGCTTCAATTAATGCTTCATAATAATTGGAAATCTTGGAGACTGTTTTTCACTTTGGTCTCTCCAACCGTCATCATGTAAAATGTTAGCAACCAGGGAATAGCTGCAGGTTTTTTGTGCCTCACTTTCTTTACGACCACTCAGCAGCCACTCGCCACACATTTTTCCACTGTACACTAGTGACTAATGGTTGACATGCAGTGGTGTCTGGTCTCTTCGCAGGTGTGACTGAAGTTTTGAAATATATTCATTTGGATTTTTAAGATGATGCAGGCACTCTAATGAACCGTGGACAGTAAATGGAGAAAAGCAGAAATAAAAGTCAAGGTTTCAGACTCCGTTCAATCCAGAATCCAAATACTTTCTCTTTACTGTGATGTGTAACAAAGATAGGCGTTCAAAACTGTGTTCTAGGAAGGATTACATAGTTTTGTACCACACTTGCGTTTGACTTGTTTGTAAATGCCTAAATTTATTAGATCATTTTCATGTTCTTAGGTTAATTCATTTTAATATTTAAAAGGGGTTCTGTTATTGATATTCCAATCCACGCAAAGAAGAAATAATCGTTTAATCATTGTTTAGACCTCTAATTAAGACTCCTGCAGAGCTTTAGCAACACATTTAAAGATAAATTTAAGCACAAACCAACGGAGGAGAGCTGCAGTCTGAATGGAGCACAGACTTTTATAGACATCTGTCTGGGTGACGGTGTTTCTTTTTTCTTAAACCAGATGAAAGGATTATTTTTAGTCCGTGGGAGAGGAGAGGGTACAGAGGAGATGATTTGAAGTGGATATGATATAAGGAAGTGACTGCTGCTGCTGCTGAGATCGTACTTGATTTATGTCTGCCATTCTGTTTCCTTTAGACATCCAAAGCCCAGACTCTATAGTGTAAACTCACCCCTGCACCTCTGACCACTGGGACTTTCCCTGCTTTTGCTCATTTCACTTGAATATGATGCATCCCAACACTCTGAGAGCTCAGCGAGTTTAAGCATCCCAGCTCTGAGCTCTGTGCTCCTGAGTCGTACAAATAATTTCATCAGAAGATCGCCTCCCTACGCAGTGTTTCCCCAAGCAACTGCAGTCGCTAACAAAGCAGCAGTGTCATCCACAGAGCCTAAATTTCTTCCTCTTCCCCTCATCTCAGTTAATTACCTGCCAAAGCTGCCGTGCGTGCTTTATCATCAAGGGAGGAAACCGTTTGAAGCTCTCATTTCCTGGGCCAAACTGGGAGAGATTGGCAGGCAGCGGGGTGATTGATGGGGTCATTTCTCAGAGAGACGCGATAGAGAGAAAGCACTTGAAAACATGCCACTGAAGGTAACGGCAATCTTAAGGGTGGAATAAAAGAAAAGAGGATAGTCTGGCATGCTGGGAACCGGCTGGCAATAACAGGCGTGTAAACTCGAGATGAAAAGCTGCATGTAAACACAACTGTTTGTGCCTTTTGCTGCTTTGATGGGCCTGCTTAGTGTTTCATTGTTGAGATGTGTTTTGCAATTATTTCTTTCAGTGCCTAAAGGTCATCTTTCACATGCAATTATAAAAAGGATATATATATATAATAAAAGGAATGGTTGCAAATGAGCAGAGGCTGTTCAATAATAAGGTCAGCAGGATTATTTAGTTTTAATATAATGACTCATGTACAGGTAAATTCCTGATATATATGTTCACAGCTGTTATAACCCCACTTTGCTACGTGAAGGGAGAGCAATATTCGTTAACCAGATGGCAGAAGGTTTCGTGAGCTAGTCCGAGCAGGTTTCACAGTCCACAGATAAAAGCAAACACACACAATAAAGGAAAGACACGGGAGTGCAATATGATTGGCTGCAACACAACACAAAGACACAGAGACTTGTAATAAAAGCGTAAAAGCTACCAGAGGAAAAAAATTAAATCCTTAAGTCACTGACCTCACTGACGATATCTAACAGCTTGGTGTTTGTAGAAAAATTAGTAACAGTTAGTACCTCACCCAGCTTTCTGCCTCAAACAGAGAAACATGAGCAGCTTACTGAAACTGAAACCGCGTTGGGAGAAAACCCACAATACGCAAACCTTTCTATTGATGCCTGCTATTTTTGTAAAGGAATTAAGTAATTTTAATCAAGTACCAAACAACAAAGAGGAATGGAGCAGACCACTCGCTGGACCAATCAAAGGCGGAACACATGACGGGACACATGAGGAAGACGTGGAAAATGAACAGGTCTGCACAGACTAATCAAAATAAAAAAACAGTTAAATTACACAAGCAGGGAGGAGTGGAGTGACCTGGGGCCTTAACAAAAACACTAATCCCACCAATACGACAGAGGTCATGTGACACCCACCGATGGGGCGTTCTGAGTTTCTCTTATAAACACAGTAATTTTTTTAATTCGCTCATAATTCAGACATATTTTTCTTGCTTGTAATCACTGTAAACCCAACATTTCATGAAAATGTTCAGATTCCTACCAGGAAATAGACTGTTTATTCAAAATGTTTATTGTCTCAAACATTTGCTTCTGAATAAAATGTGATGCTCACTTTGTAAATAATGGACTCCATTAGGATAAAAATACAGCCACTGTCTTGTCACATCCAACTAGGAGTAGGGAAAAAGTCAAACTCTAAATCTTTAATGTAAAGGAGGCAGGGGTCATACACAGGACAGCAAAAAGTAAGACAAATATTCCATGAAATGGAACAAAAGGTCATACACGAGGGAAAATGAAAAACAAGAGGAACTACAGAAACCAGCTAGAAAGCCTGAGCCAAAAAACAAGACCATCTGGCGAGTGGAAGGTGAAAGCCGTGAGTTATATATACTGAGGTGACTGATTGAACACAGGTAGGCAAATTATACAGAGCTGGTACTAACAAGGGCGGAGAAGATAATCACAAACTGACAGTGTAAATAGACCAGGAAGTGTAACATAATAGAGGAAATTACTTGAAAGAAATCACAAAACATGCCGGAGATTCTTTTAGGAAGCCAATGAAAAAAGAAAAAAAGAAAGCTGATGATTTCAAAATCAAATTAAAGCAAAAGTATAGAGCATCACCTCTTTTCTTGTCCACTGATACTTTTTAACTGCGCATGACCAAAGCCTACTCAAGCAGTAATTGAGCTCAGACTACAAGCTGAAAAACAGAAAGCCGAAAGCTCCTGGGAGGAAAAACTCTGGGATCTTGAGACAGCTGTGTGACATGAAGGACTGGGGGAAAAAACACCAACCCAACTGGAGATTTTCCAAAAATGGTAATGAGCTGTTGCATTCAACATTCAACATAAATGTATGAGCAACTTCATCAAATTCAGTGCTTTTTAAAACCCAGCATGTGGCTGCTGCTTTGAGTTTCTTCACATGGCTGAGACTTCTCATAAAACAAGAGAAAATACGAATAGCTCTGTAAAAAATAAGTATGTCCGTTCATATTTTACATCTTGTTTTCTTAATTTAACAATAAAATCTGACCATTAGTTTCCTGAGCTTGAGGTAAAACAGTCTCCAAATAGGTAGAGCAGTGATGCCTTGTTACAAACAGCAGGAGTCGGTGCTACAACTGTGATTCGATTTTTAATTAATCGTGCAGTTTTGCTTTGCAGACAATGACCGACGACAAATACGAGGTGCGGTCGTGCGTGCCCGAGGCGGCCATCCAGGTCTGCACCACCAAAGACCCCCATCTCACGCTGAAGATCACCCTCTCCTCCTTAGCCATGAGGGACGAGCAGAGCGCCACGGAAGAAGGTATTGACTCCTCCTCCATTCCCCTTCCAACCCCTCCCTCCACCCGCCTTCATCTGTGCCTCCTGTTTCGGCAGGATGCCTCACCTGTTTTTATCTGACCTTTTTATGACTACAGAAGGCTGAAAGGGAAGGAAGAGGGGAGGGATGTGAAGGTAAACCTCAGCTTAAACTAAAAGTCAGTCTGGGGAAAACTGTGGAGGATGATACAGCAAGAGGTCTGAAAGCTGAGAGGCAAATGGGGAGAAAAAAGGAGAAGGGATGATATGGATCTGGGTCAAGTGTGGTGGAAATAGCCGAGGAGAGATGATTTCCACTGGGAATGTTTGGCTTGGATTGACGAAAAAAGATATTTCCGCCTTTGGTGTCCTTTTGTATCATCCTGCATTCCTGCAACTCTGATAAGAAAAGAGTCAGCCTTCTTTTAAACAGAATAGATATATTTTAAACAACTCTGGCTGTACAAGTGAACCAATATGTGTCACCAAACAGATATTTCATCTCGTGTAACCAGCTGTGGAAAAAATAAAAAAAATAAAATCTCATTTCAGGTGACCAAATTTGATGGGAAACGTGCTCAAGAGCCGCCGGCGTTTGCCATCAGCGGTTTCATTGTTTGTTCTCGGCCCACAGATGGGAAGGAAATTAAAAATGAATGATAGGCGAGCTGGGACTGAAGAGCTGCCATTACAGAAGCGCGAGTCCCTTAGTGGTTCTCACTCACAGTGGGAAAGATTGAGCCTTCACAAAAAAGGTAAAAAAAAAAAAAATGGATTGTGCCAAACAGGAGAGAGGCAGAGCACAGCCGAGCTCAGGGCAACAAGGCAGGGAAAACAGTTTTTCTTCAGCTTCAGCATCCTGTCAGGACTCACAAGGACACCGTTTCTTTTGTTTCATTTCAGTGTGAAATGAAACACACTGGCATAGTATACTGTTTTATACACTTCAGCAGAATTTAAATGAAATATTCTAAATAGACTCAGGAGAACCACAGAGTAGCTCCCTGAAGAAACACTTCATTTAAACACCTCTTTGTTTTTTCATGCTTGGTTTAATAATTTCTATTTAACAAGATATTATCCTGAGATATTAGGATTCTGTTTAGCAGGTGTGTCTCTGGTTAACCTAGCATGTTTTCACATAGTTGGATATTTAGATATAGCACTGTTAAACTACTGAATACATAAAGAACATCTTTTAGCCTTGGTTTAAACAGCTGAAACCAAACCGTCAAGTCCAAAAAGGTAACCCGCAACACTGTGAGCTGGTGTTGGAACTCAGCTGAAGCTTGTTTGTTACATAAAAAGACAGCACTCTGCAGCACCAATGCATCACTCTGAGTGTTTTCGTGCACTGGGCCGTCTGCTGTCAGTCAGCTCATTGCATAATCTCGGAGTCAGCGTTTGGAGTCTCCCAGTTACTCTTTCAGAGCTGTGACAAGTAGGAATCCGAGCAAGAGGCTCAACGAAAAGGGAAACAAAATGCATTTAAACCAACACAGGACAACAATGGTGTGTGCAAGGCAGTCGTTTCATTAATTCAAGTAGTCAGTGGATGTGTGTTACTGTAAGTGATGGGTGGGTTTGTGGAAAGTGCGGACACAAAAGTAGGTTTATATCGGGGAGGGTGAGTAGATATGAGGCTGGATGGCCCAGTTCTCACCCACAGATAAAAGCTACAGTAAATAAAAGAAACAGTGACATTACTCCATCAGCATTACTACAGTCAGTGTTTTGGCCACAATTTCAGTCTTTTTACAACACATGTACTTGCTAATTATTGTCATATCGCAAGCTAATAATGTAACTTCCAGTAACCACAACTGAAGTAAGGTTTCTTAAACAGGTTGTTCCAAAATGTCTTCATAGACAGCTGAATGACATGAAATCCAGACAGATGTGGTATAAAACCAGCTGTTATGGAGTGGGAAACTACACCCTGAGAGCCTCTTGGGTGAGAAGTGAAATGTCTTCATGAAACTTAAAGTCCAGTTGCTTTCTTTTTGAGCTCCTTAGAAGACCAGAGGTTACTGAATTCTGACTTCGCTGGCCATTTAAACTGGTAGTCTTTGGATAACTTTTGGAGGCAGCTTCAATTGGCCATTAGAGGAAATGTAGTCTTTGTGACTTGACCGTTGGCTTCATTTGTCTGGTCCAGAGGCTGCAGCTTGGACCCACCTCCAAGACTGTGAGAAGGCTGTCACAATGCCATGTGATGTGAAAAGTTTTCAGTCTTCACTTGGAAGTACATCAGTGAAAACAGAGGCCTCCTGCACCTCCTCCCTGGCATCTGTACACATTCAAAGAGTGCTTTGCCAGTTTATTGAATGAATCTAAGGATTTAAGCTGTTGATTGTTAAGCGACAAGCAAGATTATTTGTTTTATTTGTTTTTGCTGCATGCAGAGTAAAATTTGGATCCAACCAATAGAATTTGGAACAAGTAGATCTTAAAAAAATGGGAGAAAAATTACACATTTTAAGCAAGAATTTCTCATTTTATTCAAATGTGAGTTGGACCACCCAGGAGGAAGTTTCCTCTGCAGAAAAATAAACAGCAATTGTGAAAATTGCAAAGATTTGAGTATCCTACTAAGTTAGTACTCAGCAGTCCCTCTATGGCAGTTTGCAAATGCTTTTTACAGATAGGTAATAGTCTTTTTATTCTGTTCTCACTGTTAAACCCTCTTTCTCCAGATTACTTTAAGTTCTCGCTGCAGATGTTCAGCTCAAATGGCTGAGGGGAAAATCTGAACGCTCCAGCTTATGTTTCTTATAGTAGCTAAAAGTGGCTTTTGATGTCTTCTTTGGCTTTTTCTGCTGTTGCTGAAGTAATCTTTTCAGTTTCATTTTCTTGACTGACTGCAGGACATCAATGCAATTGAAATTTAGCGCAATCCATCCTTCCCTCCATCATTGTAATGTTTCTGTGCCACTAGCTGTTACACAAACCCAAAGCAGAATATTTCCACCCCAGTGCTAAAAAGTCAGCAGTTGATTCTTTCCATCAAGCACTGGCTCCTTTTTTCCAAATGTACGTTTGGTGATTGTGGCCAAATGGCTCTATTAATGTCATTTGTTTCAGATGTTACTTTGCAGACTATAGATATTGACTAGTTAATTTTGTGATGAGCTGGCTCTGAGCAGCTTTGTATCTGTGTCCAGCAGACATGCAATTTTATCTAGTTTTATTTAGTTTCAGAAAGTGGAAACTGTAATGTGGAGGCACATTTTTGACTCTTCTTGCATCATCAGCCCTGCGTCAGTTTAGATTTAACAAGTTCATGAAGTTCTGTGACAAGCATGCCAGAACTGAGTTTTGTCTGTAGACAGAAACACATGCATAAGTGTTTAAATGTCTGCAATATAACATGAGATTTAAATTTTGTGTTACATTGTGCAGGTTAATAAACATTCGCTAACTGTGTAATTACTTTTAAATTTGACCACATTTATTGTAGAACATTGGTTCTTACTTCACCTGTGGCATCAAGCTGTGGTTAGTTACTGAAAGATGATGTTTACAAATACCAGCTGCTGAAGGTGGTCTGATCTCAGCTTTAGAAAGAGGACTAAGAGCTCAGAGTAGAGATTTGGGTATATCTAACTACATGTAGACCTAACCTCCACCCTCAAGAAGAGCTGGTGGAGTCGGAAAAAGTCTGAGCCTCTGGGCTTGTGATCTGGATGCCAATAAGAGGCAGAAAATATAGATGGATGGTTGAAATAGATGGATGGATCCAAAGCATAAAAATGGTATTTAGGACGGCCATAGAGTTTAACATTTAAAAATACTTTGCAAACCTGAAATTACATCTGATTAAGGCTGTTTCCACACAGACAGTTTCAGGAGCATCAGGTCTGGAGAGTTTACACAGTTGGCAGGACATGACACCCACTTTCTAGCTGTGAATTCACTGAAATATTAGCAGCATTTTTCAGCACAAACTGAACTTACACAGACTTTAAAATAGAGAGCTGGCAGGTTAAACACGAGCTGCGCAGGGCATTTGTATTCACACATGCAGCTCTCATGGTTGTTGCCTAGAAAAGTTGTGTCACAGTCAAGTCCTGATAAGCAGTAGGACATGGATCATAATACAAATGAATAATTGATTTGATATGAAGGTCGTGAAACCACTGAAAGCGTCACTTGTTTAAAAAAGTTAAACAGATAACAATTAGAGGTGGGAATCACCATACATCCCTCGATACGATATTATCACAATACTTAACGCACGATACGATATTATTG